CTACAATGTGTATAAAATATAATTCAATAACATGTCTCACTGTAATAAGACTATTGTATATATAATATCAAATGAAACTGTAGTTGAAACAAAATAAAACTGTAGTTGTGCTGAAATGAAACTACAATGTATATAAAATGAAACTGAATATGTTATACAAGCATATCTACTTATGCGGAAGGGTGCCATTTCTTTTCATTAAAAGAAACAACACCGTTTTGGAGCATGGTTCACAATGCTGTGTGGACCATGGTCCACAGTAAAATTTGCTTCATCCTTTAATTTTTATTGGGTGTCGCGGAGATTTGGGTTAACCCAAGAGTTTGTGCATGAAAAGTTAACTTTAATACTAAATTAAATATGTTGTGTTTCGTATCAACTAAGTTAACTAAGTTTAAATTGATAGTTAAATCACACATTTATTATTTATATATATGATGCTCACAAGAAGAAATTCAAATAAGAAGTAGAGAAATAAACAAGAAACAACAAAAAAGAATAGAAAGTAGGGGTGACCACGGTTCCGGTTCCGTGGATGGCGAAACCGGAACCGGAACCTTATAGTAAGGTCTGGTTTCGGTTCCGGTTCAGAACCGGCGGTTCTGGTTCAGAACCGCCGGTTCTAACTGGAATTATTTAAAAAAAAAAAAATTAAAAATAACACTATAATATTTAATTTTTTTTCAGTTTTGAACCGGAACCGCCGGTTCCGGTTCCAAGATTTACAAACCTTAACCGGAACCTTATAGGTTCCGATTAAGAACCAGAACCGGAACCGTACAAACGGTTCCGATTCGGTTCCGGTTTGCACAGTCACGGTTCCGGTTCGAACCTACGGTTCGAACCGGAAACGCGGTCATCTCCAATAGAAAGTAGAGAACAAGGAAAAATTAAGAGAAAGAAATGAAGAAGGCAAATTCTAATTTGATCCGTGTGACGGGTTTTTGATAAATATTATATTTTTTCACATAAGTATTATAATTTTTATTATAACTCTTCTAATATTAATATTATATTTTGATTTGAAAATATAGTATTACATTTTTTGTCATAAGTATTATAATTTTTCTCATAAGTAACAATTAAATAATTTATCCATTATTAGTATTACATTTTTTTCTAATAATTAACTATTCAATACTCTTTTGAGAGAAACAACTTAATTCAATACTAAATATTACATTTTGATTTAAAAATATCATATTTTCCTTAAAAGTAAAAAAACAATTTATTGATGATTATTATTACATTCAATTTCCATAATAAGTATTTTATATATTTGTGTTATATATGACCTAACTTGTTTCACATATTAGATTTATGAGATGGTTTCACAGGAGACTCAGTGAAGAAACAACAAAAGAAGAGAAATCCAGAACAAACAAGAACAAACGAGAAACCAATTAAGAGAAAGAAATTAAACAACAAAAAAGAAGAGAAAACAAAAGGCAGAATAATAGAATGGGGACAAAAAAAAGGAAAGGGAAAAGAACAAAGAACTCCTCCACCACCATAAATTGGAGATAAATTCATCAAAATGCATATCGAAAGAGGATAAACCCTCCACCACCAAAAATTGGTAGGAGAAAGACGTAAAAAACAAATGCACTTTCTAGCAACATAGATGTGATAAAGCATTTCGAATGGACGCACCTTAAGATTTGAACTTATGCACTTGTTAGAAAATAATGCATATTAAGTTTTAAATATACGCATCTTAAACTAAAAAGTGACGGACCTTAAGTTTTAAACATATGCACCTTAAACTATAAATTAAACATAATCGCCTTAAGCTTAAAACTTAGGCACCTAAAGCTATAAACTTACACACCTTAAGCTTCGAACTTATACATCTTAAGATTTAAACATACACATCTTAAGAGTTAAACTAATGCACCTTAAACTAGAAAGTGATACACCTTAAGCTTCAGACATATGCACCTTAAGCTATAAACGTACGCATCTTAAGCTATAAACATACGCACCTTAAATTTTAAACTTAGACACCTAATGCTATAAACTTACGCACCTTAAGCTATAAACTTATGCACCTTAAGCTTTGAACTTACACACCCTTAAATTTTAAACTTACGCACCTTAAATTGTGACCTTACACAAAATGACCATAATGTCACCGCGTTTTTTTTAATTGTTTCTTCATTCTGGGCTGTTGATTTTGGCAAGATCAAAGATTGTGATTAATCCGCACGTTTCACCTGAGAGAAGCTTTGTGTCTGATTCCCTGTCTACACACACACACAAACTAGTGATATTAAATTTTTTGAAAGGTCAACCCATGGGTTGTATTTATAGATAAGCTGAAATAGCATCAGGTGGGATATCATCCCAATACATAGCTGTATCAAAATGGAAAGCCGAAGCTGCTAAACTATGTGCTAAATAATTCTGCGATCTAGAAATAAATTGAACATGACAAAAAGTTAAATTATTAATCTGGTTCCTGCATCCATCAAGGGCATAACCAATATACGATCTTGCCAATTGATATGGTGGTGTCAAATATTTATGTAGCGTCTAGCAATCCGTAAAGACCTCAACCGATTGTACTCCACGGTCACGTAGCCAAGACAAGGCCTCCTTGCATGTATATGCTTCTGCCATTAGTGGGGAATAACAACATGGCAGTGGCGCTGCAAATGCTGCGACAAAATGACCGTCCTCTCCCATAAGTACCGCACCTACCGAAGCTGAATTGGTACCATCGTGATATGCTGCGTCTATGTAACATTTGCTGTGTGGATTAAATGGGAGTGGAGAGACTCTCTATCTCTTATTTATCTTATAGAGGTAATGTCATATGGGGTTTTCCGAGTATAGTGATTTTGCCACATTTAGTCCTAAACTTTCAAATTGATCACCCATGGTCCTTCAACTTTCAAATTGTTATCATCTGTAGTCCAAGTTAACTACCCATGGTGCTTCAACTTTCAAAATTTAACCATTCATCATCCTCCTAAAAGGACCGCAACTGGTAAAATTTGATAGTTGAAAGACCATGAATGGTTAACTTAGATCACAAATGGTAACAATTTGAAAATCAAAAGACCACAAATAGTCAATTTAAAAATTTAGGACTTAACATATCAAAACTATTATATTTGAAGGACCCATATAGTATTAACTCCGATAGTAGTGACATTGTAAACGAAGTGAGACAAAAGTTGAAACAACAATGTGCACGAAAAATGCACGACAAATGCACAAAAATGCACTTGTCTTTCAAAAACAAATTTAGTAACATTTAGCATTGATTGAGTGGGATAGAAAAAATACTACTCTGTAATTTTTATTCAATAGTTTTACTACTTTAGGTAAATTGGGCAAAATATATTCTTATATTTTACCTCAACATGGTAGATGAAATGGGAAAAATTAAAATACTTATATATTTACCATGTTATTTTTGTTCCGAATTCTATTACTTATTTCAAGATTTGCTGACAAAATTTTTGTTCATCTATCTGGCTCTGCTTTGCTTTGACATATCAGGTGTAATAGGACAAACGCTTATATTAAGTAATATAATTTTTTTTTTCATAGTTTTTACTTTTTACTACTTGTCTAATTTTCTTTTATTTTTATCTTTGTATATAATTTATCTCAGCACGATATACGAAAGGTGTAATTTAGTTTTTTGCACAGTAAACGCACGGTGTAATTTAAAAATATTCCTACTTCTACAAGTACAAATCTAATTTTATTTATTTAGTTTTATACTTAAGTGATTCCAGTATCATAATCCCCGGATCTCACTCCTAGAGCCACTGCAAAGATAATTCGCGAGTCGCCTAATTAGCGCAAATTATGCTGTGCATCCGTATGCACCATGCATGGTACATACGGATGCAAAAACGACGTCGTTTTAGTTAAAAAAAACGCGCGTCCCACTTAAAAAAGAAATCAGGTTCGATTCCCGGCAATAGCATTTTTATATATTCATAAATTCATAACTATATATCCACAGTGAATGAATAAAGTAAAAATCCACAATGAATGAACTAAATATCCACAATGATTGAACTAAATATCCACAATGAATGAACTAAATATCCATAAATTCATAACTATATATCCAAAAATTCATAACTATATATCCACAGTGAATGAATGAAGTAAATATCTACAATGAATGAACTAAATATCCACAATGATTGAACTAAATATCCATAAATTCATAACTATATATCCAGAAATTCATAACTATATATCCAGAAATTCATAACTATATATCCACAATAATGCTATTGCCGAGAATCAAACCTAAAATTTTTTTAAGTGGGACGCGCATTTTTCGTCAAAACGACGTCGTTTTGCATTGTATGCACCATGTATGGTGCATTCGGTTGCACAACATAACTATTGTCTAATTAGCCTACCAGTCAATTCCTAATTTTTGTGCGCGTATACAAGACATCCAATGCACACCAATCATTATTGCGTGAACCGTGACCCGCACAGCTATGTGGACCACGTTCTAAAAACACACAAAGTATATTATTTTAACTCATAAAATACATTATTCTAACACATAAAATACATTATTCTAACTCATAAAATACATTATCTCACTCCAGGAATTTCATTATTCTAACAAATAAAATAATTATACATTACTCTAACTATTAGAACACATTATTGTAACACATACAGTATATTATTCTAACTCATAAAATACATTGTCTTACCCCAGATTTCATTACTCTAATACATAAAATAAAGTAGTTTAACTCATAAAATATATTATCTTAACCCAGAATATTCATTATTTTAACACGCGTCTTGAAGCCAACACTTCCCACATAGAGAAGCAACCTGGTATCTTGGTAAGTAAGGATTTTTTTAAAATATCAAAACGATGTCGTTTTGAACCATGATCCACACAGTTGTGTAGACTACTCACACAATAATTTGTCAATGCGCACCTTCTATCATTCTGAGTTATTTTATTTTTTTCATACATGTATTGGGAGACATTGATGTCAAAACAAAAGGTGAAACAAATTAAATCTAGGAATTCATTTCTTGGAGTGATGGTGGAACCTCAGTATAACAGATGGCAGTGAGAAGGGCAGGGAGGGAAGCAGGAGAAGATGGAGTTCGTTCTGTACAAAAGTTTCAGAGACACCAATAAAATGTCTCCTCTTATTCATAAGGGCCACAATATATATAAGCCTATACTAGCTACCTAAAATTCGTTGCCCGCACCTCAAGCTACCTCACCACCTTTCTCCTCATCCTCTTCTTCAAACTTCTCCCCCAGTCTGGCACTCTTATACCACTTAGCACACGCAATATACGCCACCAAATCCATCAAAGTCAGACCCGCAAGCAGAAAGTAAAACCTATCAAGATGCCCCCGGTTAAGGTTCCCCGGAATCCACCCCGGCATGCTGCTATCTTTAGCGGAAAATTTCATCACAATGCTCACCAGCAAGCTGCTCACGTAGTTCCCCAGAGATATGGAGGTCATGCAGAGGGCGCTGCCGAAGCTCTTGAGCCCGTCGGGCGCCTGGGCGTTGAAGAACTCGAGCTGCCCCACGTACATGAAGACCTCCGAGGCTCCTATCAGTGCATATTGTGGGATTTGCCACAGGATGCTCAAGGAGCTGGAGCCCTCGCAGTTGCTGCATTCTTTAATGGCGTATTTGAGCCTGTAGCACTCGACTAGCCCGGCTGCCAGCATTGCCATCACGGCGATGATTAGCCCCACCCCCATCCTCTCCAGCTGTGTTATCCCCCCGTTCGTGACAACGTTGTTGTTGTGAATGTCTGTGTCCTTACTGTTGCTCCTCTTTATCTTGCCTACTAGGGGGTCAAGGAGGCGTCTGTAGAGGAAGATGCAGACCGCCACGCTGCAGATGTCGAAGCTCGACATGCTTGCTGCGGGGATTCTGAAGTTTGCTACTTTGGTTTCCATGGCGTCGCCTTGTTCTACGAATAGGGAGGCCATTTGGGTGAAAACCACGGAGTAGATTATGGTGCATAGCCAGATGGGTAGTAGCCTTAGAATGCACTTCACCTCTTCCACTTGGGAGATTGGGCAGAGGCGCCATGGGCTCTGCTTCTTGTTCTCAGCTTCCTTTGATGTTATCACGGATGCCCGGTCCAAGAATCTGCAATAGATCAGATTAGAGACAGTCAGTCACCATGTTTTAATGTTTAATTTGTGTTGGGCCCAGGTTTGTCAAGGCTAAGTTCAGCAATTGGTAGCAATGGAGACGGTTGGACTGATGCCAGTGAAGGACAAGTCCAACACTATGCAATTAGAAAATGTGATGATTTATAAGAAAATGCTCTTGATCATCCTAAAAAATGGTATCAAGGGCAAGAACTATGCAATTAAGGCTGGTAGGTATTGGGAGGGGAAACTTTTGGGCAGGTGAAGGACCAAATCTAGCAATTGGTGGCTATGAGATTGTTGGGTGGAGGCTTGTGTAGGGCCAAGTTCAATAACTGGTGGTTAAGGGATTGTTGGACGAAAGCCAGTGAAGGGTCAAGTCTAGCACCTTGCCTTTTGAAAATGTCGCTGTCTATAGGGAAACGTGTTTGATCCTAACAAATAGTATTCAGTATTCAGGGACAAAAATTATGCAGTTAAGGTTGGAAAGTGCTAAGAGGGAGAATTATTGGGCAGGTGACCAAATCCAACAATTGGTGGCTATGGAATTGTTGGGCGAAGGTTTGTGAAGAGTCAAATCACCCTGTCTACCTGGTAAGCGCTTGTTCCTAACAATGTGATAGAACAGTCCTGAAAGATTTATTTAGACAGTTGAATTGTCTTCTTCATTTACCTGAAACCTTCAGTGTGGAGCATCTTTCTTGAATTCTCATTTTCATCATCACCTTCATACAATTCTTCTTCTTCACTAGGAATCTGCACCTTCCATTTCTTCGAAGCGGCAACAATGACTTGGCAGAATCTGGAAAGGGGATTGCCATTAGGCTTGAAGTGCCTGTACCTTGTTGTCCCAGCTAGAAACAGCACAAGTGCAGCAAAAGCTGAAGCAGTAGAAGCCCAAAATCCCAGAGCCCACAACCCTTCATCCTCAAAGAAGTCCAGAATGGTGTTGGAGAAGAGTGAGCCAAGGTTGAGGGCCAGGTAGAAGTAGCTGAAAAACGACACTTTCGAGTGTTTCTCTCTCGGGTTCTCATCGTCGAATTGATCTGCCCCGAATGTAGCAATGTTTGGCTGGTATCCTCCATTTCCCAGAGCCACCAAGTAGATTGAGACATAGAACATACCAATTACCCAGCTTGAATGGGAGCCACACTGGGTTTCTTTATCCCCACAGCCTTTTGGTTTCAGCAAGTAGAGTTGAGATGTCACAGATAATAACACCAATCCCTGTAAGTAATTAAAGTTATGTTAGGATCAAACGCTTATCACTACGTAAAAAAAAGTTATAGCTAGTAGCAAAGACGCAACAATCCCCTAATCACATAGTGCTGAATTTGGCTCTTACCGGCCTCCGCCCAACAATCCCCACCCAGTACCAACCAGTCTTAATTGTCTCTGATACTACTTAGCTAGTTACGATCAAGCGTTTATCCGTATACCAAAAACTATAGTTAGTTGAGAATTGAAGGAGCAACTTTATTTCCTTATACCGCCACACATATTTGAGAGCCAGGGTGCTGGACTTGGGCCTTTACTGGCCTCCGCCCAATAATTCCCTTAGCCACATGATGCTGTATTTGGTCCTTACCGGCCTCTGCCCACCTATTCCCTTCTCAGCACCAACTAGTCGTAACTGTTCTTGCTGAGACTCGAATCACATAAATCTTGCCTTCTTTACTGAATACTGAATACAATTAAGATGATGGTGATAAGGAAGGGGAAGGGAAACTTACAATGACATAGATGACCTGGAAAATGGCACATGTTTTGTATCTTCCCCAATATGAATCACTGAGAAATGCACCAAGAAGGGAGAAGATGTAAACAGTGCCAGTCCATTTGCTCACACTGTTGGCTGCATCAGCATTTTTCTCTCCCATCACTCTTGTCAGGAACAGAACCAAGTTTACCCCAACACCAAAGAATGCCAGAGTAGCTAGACCTTGATTCACTGCAAATTTTTTTTTTTTTTTTTTAATTTTTAAAAATCACTATTAGTCTCTTAATTGTACATGTTGAGTTTATTAATTAAGTAGAGAGCATTTATTAATTTTGAAAAGTAAGATATTCGACACATCAAGTTACGTATCAATGTTTGACAAAAATTTAAACAGAGTAATTAATTAAACAACAAAACAATTAATGTTATGTTTATGGTAAGTATTTATTATTAATTATTGATGGATAGTCTACTAATTATTCACAAAGTCACGATTTTCTCGTTACATAAATGCTGGCCGTCCTAATTAAATGTTTGGTGCATATGCAACATGCATGATAACACTTTTGGCTAATGAGAAATACATTTCTGAAATTGCACATAAATAGCACACAAATGGCACAAAAGATTGGAACTTGTCATAAACATTTAATTACACAACACAAACTCCTTTAACCTTTTTTCCACTTTTGAAATTTGAAATATAACTTTGTACTTTGGTGTTTAGGCTTTGTAATTAAGATGATTCATGGGGAAAGATTCTATATATTTCTTTCCTTTTCTAAGTAATTTTATGTTTTTTAGTTGAAGTGAAATTCTTCTCATTAACCACTCACTTTTGTGACCTAAGAAAAAAATAAAAAAAAATTCTATTCACATATTTGAGACCTAAGAAAAAGTAACTTGACCCCATCACTATTACCTTTTCTCCTCTTCATCTACCATTTCTTCACGACAAGAAATTTGATGACCAAAAAAGTGTATACTATAAATAAACCCAGAAGGATAGCATTGTGTTGAGTGTAGATATTACTATTACGAAAATATTATATGTATTTCTATTCTCTACTCTTAATTTTTATTCTCACACTCAAAATTTTGATGTAGACACTTTTATAGGAATCCATGTGAAAAAAAATAATCTATCATATCGTCACATTAAAGAATAAATTTTAGGGAGTAAGATTTGAAAGTAGGACAAGTCTTATTATTATTATTAAACTTTCTTTATAAGATAGTTCTGATAAAATCAGGCGAATTTATCGAGGGTATGTTTAGTTGACATTTGAACAAATACAGTTGGAAAGGTAATCAGACTAAAAAGAAAACTTGTCCATTTGTGGATAAATAATTATTTATGAACTCTTAAATAATATTAAATAAAAAGCTCTACAAGCTATTTTGAATGAAACGATAAAAAAAAATAATATTATTTTGAATATTTATTTTGAGTATATATAATAATAATTTAAAAAAGACAAGTTATTATTATTATTATTACATACGAGTGAGTGCATGACATACGGTGCAGACAGGATAGAGACTAGAGAGGAGAAAGAATGACGTGGCAAGCAACCTCATAAATGGCAAAAGAGTTGACAGATTACGTGTCAGGCATGTGTTCCCTAATCCTGCATGCCTTCCTCGCCCCTTCTCCTTAATCTACTTGTCCTCTATTGAATGAGGTGTATGTGCTTCCTTCAAACCTAGTAAACTGTCCCAATCCATTCCCCCTACCCTACCCTTACCCCCACCCCCTCTCTCCATATTTTTACACCTATCTATAGTGTCAAAGACCTTGTGATCAAGCGACATAACTATAACTCTCTCAAATGGAAAGTCATATGTTCAAAGTATGGACATGTATTACACTATAACAGAGTTAATAGTACTGAAAAAACTACATATATAGTCAGGACTCTAAATCCTTGACCCCTTAATTTGAGTTGGTCAATTATGAATAACCTAGGTTGATTAATTTACTTCCTTGTGATCTTTTACATGTTAAGATCATAACATGAGTTTTACTTACATCCAAAAAGGTTGTGAGGTTTCTCTCGTTATCAAATAACACATATATCTATGCATATACCCTTCCGTCACATTTTGTGTCTGGTTCGATTAACGTGGCTTGACTGAAGTTATTTTTAATATAATTTTTTATAATTTTAAGTTTACTATTAATATACAAAATTTATATATTTAGAAACTACATTAAAAATACTATTAAACACAAAAATCAAATATAAAAATAAGTAAAAAATATTAAAGAAAAATGATGAAATGGATCATTTGGTAGTTGCTTGGAATTGTGTATTTATGATTTTGTAACGTCTGATGATGTATAGAGAGAGAGAGACAGTTGGAGGTGAAATGACAGTTTTGGCCATGGAAACAGTGAAGGAAAGACAGTGAAAGTGGCAGCTGGGAAGATAAGAGGTTCAGAGCACAGTAGAAAGTAATAAATAAATAAATAAATTTAGATAAAGAGAGTGGCGTATATCGGTATATGGAGGTAGGTTGATGAGATGACAGTGAAAACACAGAGAGATAAGCAGAGTTTGATATCAGATAGATAACACAGTAAATTTTTTTATTTATTTTTTCACCGGAGAAGATAGATAGATACTTACGCAGAATGATCATTCCGGCGAACCATTTTCCGGTCCGGTCACGGATAGCCGGCCGGCCATGCATGTCCACCGATCCATCCCTAGTTCTCTCTCCTTCACGATCATCACCATTCATCCCCGACACCGCCTGCAAAACAAAACAAAAGTTGAAACAAACATGAAAACCTTAATTTCCTCGATTGCACTGGACTCGCACGGACAACTTCAATTCGCACTCGATGGCTAGGGGATTGTTGAGTCGAGGCCAATAAAGGCCAAGTTCAGCACCCAGTGTCTCGAAAATGTGTGGCGGTATAAGAAAATAAAGTTGCTGCTAACCTTCTTGGAGACTTCTAAGCAAGCCATTGATGATGGAAGCTAAGGTTCAGAGAGATTTTGTTGCTTCAAGCTAGCTAGCTGGCTATGGAGAAGGAAGAAGAGGGCTTTAATGGCGGTCGAAGCTAAGGAAAGAGCAAGCTAGCCAAAAAAAGGAAATGAGAGAAGCTATAGTTTGGAGAGTACAAGGAGTGGAGTATGTATATATAGAAGATGGGGAGAAGAGACTCTAGGAAATGGACGGTGGAGATTCGTTTAACTTCGGTTCTCAAATTTGGGGAAAAGTAAAAAGAAAATAAGAAACAGAAAAAAAAAACAAAAAAAAATTATTTATTTTTTTTTAAAAAGGGAGTCACTACCACATTCATATGGGAGAAATTGTACAGCGGTGTTAGATTGTTGTTTATAATAATTAAAAAAAGTGGACCTTAAATTATACTGGTAAATTAAATAATATAATAAGGTGTGAATTGAGGTTTAATTTGATTTTGCTTTTGTTTTGGTAATATTTTGGTCCATATGTACTCCACACAAACATGACCTAATTTGGGGTTGCTATCAAGTATCCAATATTGTCTGTCAATTGGCTGCGTTTGATTTGACACATGAAATTCTAACTATTTGGGTTTAGGAATTTAAGAATTTTGGTTCATAATATATTCATCATTCACAATGATTTGACACTCCACTCCTATTTCAGTTTAGGTATAAACTATATAAAATTTAATATTTATATTTTCTGTTGCATTATTTTTCATTAAGTATACACGTGGTACAAACTTGATTTTTAAGTTATACTAGTATTTGCGCCCGTGCGTTGCACGGAATGAATTTGTTATAATATTTTATAAATATTTAGATCGATATACAATTGTATAAATTATAACATCGAATATTATATAATATAATTGAAGAATTGAGTTGCACCGATTATGTTTTCTGATGTTATCAATGCTTGAATTTGAGTAAATAATTGCCCAATTAATAGCTAACGTGTAGATATACGCATTCGGTGCTGCAACTTTAGAGATTTTATATATCGGTGTTTAGAATTTGTATTAATTGGGCTAATTAGCTCGTTGTCTAGCAATTCAGTTATAGAAATTATTTATACGAAAGATATATTTTCTATGTAGATATATAGCAATTTTGTCATCTTTATATATAAAAAACCATAATATCAATGACTTGAATTATACATTATTGAAAATCTCTTTGTAGACAACATTGGTAGTAGTAACACAATTTTATTCATCCTCGTCTAGAGTTAAAATCACCAAACCATCAGGATGGGTGACTCGGGAAAAAGTCACATACAATTAACCGTGATTAAAGACTGATTTTTTCAGTAATAACTCAACGTGAGTTAGTGTTTGACCCTGACTTTTGTTGATAGTCGTGGCATATGCGAGCATCAACATGAGTTGTTTTCGTTAGAACTTGAAGGGCAATCTCGTATCAGAAGGGTGAAAGACATTTTAATTGAAGATTTTACTTTTATTAATAGTATAAATATAGATTGGTGTCAATAATAATTAATAAATTATTATTTCCTTATAAAATTACATAAAATTTCAAATGGATTTTCTCATTTATTACGTAGAATTTGTTTCTGTTATTCTTACAATTATAATGGTTTAATTATTCTCAGAATTTGATAACCATTTTTCTTTTTTAAGTTGACTTTAATTTGTGATAAAAATTCATTAGATATTGGTTAATTTTCATATAAAATTTTGTTACCAATTAAGCTTTATTAATTTTTTTTATCAATTAATTAATATTCACATTAATATGGGCGGAAATGTTGAAGATGCGAATTTTACTTTTATTAATAGTATAAAGTAAATAATAATTAATAAATTATTATTTCTTTATAAAATTACGCAAATTTCGAACGAATTTTCTCATTTGTTACGCAGAATTTGTATCCATTATTTTCACAATTATAATAATTTAATTATTCTCATAATTTGGTAACCATTTTCTATTTTTATGTACATATTGACTTTAATCTGTGGTAACAATTCATTAGATATTAGTTAATTTTTATATAAAATTTTGTTACCAATTAAGCTTTATTATTTTTTTACTAATTAATTAATATTCATGTTAATTTGGGCTGAAATGTTGTAAATGAGGATTTTACTTTTATTAAAGTCATTTCACTAAGAAACTGGAGCTTGTGGTTGAGTGGAAGGGACACATCCATCCTTATTAACCAAAGGTGAGCAACTTTAAATCTCCAGGCCAAAGCATAAATGATATTGCAATAATTAATTTATTTATGATCATTGGTGCACATATTTGATTTATTTATTTTTTCTTTAATTATTCTCGTTGTAAACATAAATGATATTGCAATAATTAATTTATGATATTTAGCAAGTTGTATTTTTTTTTAAATATAAAATTTTCTCATGTTTAGGGATTAAAAAATATTTTAGAATTATTTTTATTAGTAAGTAATTTTATTTTTAAAATATTTTTCAGCAACCCAAACACTCCATTAGTCTATAATAAAAAAAATGAAAAATAAAAGTTGTTTCATTAAGAAAATTAAAACTAATTAAAGTAAATCTAATCATGCTATATTTATTTGTAACTGTATATTAATTTCATTTTGAAATCAGTGGTTAACATCTTTGAATTATTTATTTTTTTTTCAACTATTATAAACAAAAATTATGATATTTATCAAATTGTATTTAAAAAAAAAACATTTACACATGTTATGAGGGATTAAAAAATATTTTAAATTATTTTTTATTAGTGTGCATTTTTATTTTAAAATATTTTCCAGCAATCCAAACACTCCCTTAGCCTCCCATCAAAAACGGATAAAGAAAAGTCATTTCATTAAGAAAATTAAAACTAATTAAAATAAATCTAATCATGCTACATTTATTTGTAACTCTATATTAAGTTTATTTTGAAATATTTGGTTCACATATTTGAATTATTTTTTTTTTCTTTAACTATTATAAACAAAAATTATGATATTTATCAAATTGTATTTTTTTAAAAAATATAACATTTACACATGTTATGAGGGGTTAAAAAATATTTTAAATTATTTTTATTAGTATGCATTTTATTTTAAAATATTTTGCACTAATCCAAACACTTCCTTAGCCTCCCATAAAAAATTGATAAAGAAAAGTCATTTCATTAAGGAAATTAAAACTAATTAAAGTAAATCTAATCATGCTATATTTATTTGTAACTGTATATTAATTTCATTTTGAAATCATTGGTTCACATATTTCAATATGTTTTTAATTATTATAATTTATAAACAGAAATAATATTGTACTAATTAATTTATGATATTTATCAAATTGTATTTTTTTAAAAAATATAAGATTTACACATGTTATGAGGGATTAAAAAAATATTTTAAAATTATTTTTTATTAGTAAGTATTTAAAAAAAAAATCACCAACTCAAACACTCCCTTAGTCTCCATAAAAAAATTGATAAAGAAAAGTCATATCATTAAGGTAATTAAAACTAATTAAAGTAATTGTAATCATGCTATATTTATTTGTAACTATATATTAATTTCATTTTCAAATCATTGGTTCCCATATTTGAATTATTTTTTTTTCCTTAATTATTATAAACATAAATAATATTGTACTAATTAATTTATGATATTTATCAAATTGTATTTTGTAAAATATAGTGTTTTATCGGGAAAATTTTTTGTTGTTATGAATTTAAAATTAAAATAAAAAAAATAAAAAGATGTTAAAATGTACAATATAATAATATAGTTGGATTTTTATATATTTGGTCAAGTACCTATTTTCATAACATACAAAATTAAATTTTAAATATTGTATGGTTAATATAATCTCTAATCATGTACATATTTAGATAAATTTATAGAAAAAATTTATAGAATTAAATTGATTTATTCCAAATTGTATTTCATATATATTATAATTCTAAAAATATGAATAATAATAATTAAGAGAATTGTACTTAAAAATCAATAAAAATGTAAATTCTAATATTTGTATGAATAAATATAAACTCTAATCAGACGCATATCATTATCTCTATATCTCTATCTCTATCTCTATATATATTAAAGCAAAATGGTTGACACAAAAATTTTTCCTCCAAAACGTAGGGACATTTTTGTAATATCATTTATTATTATTATTATTATTATTATTATTATTATTATTATTATTATTATTATTATTATTATTATTATTATTATTATTATTCATTACCCTATTGTGGTGGCTGGCAATCCAATTAATATGCCATTATTTACCTATTGATTACGCTCCAATTTTTATTTGACTCATATTATTCTGGCTGGCAATCCTCTCCATAATTAGTGGCAATCCTTTCCATATAATTACTATTTATATTTAACTTATATTATGCTGGCTAAATAATGAAAAAAATATATTTCCATAAAATAAAATATGTCAGCACTTATCTAAATAATTACTTACTCAATAATTATTTATCCTCTCCATATAATTAGTTCCGTATTGATTATAGAAATTATAGAAATTTAAATTATTATTAATTAGTGAATTTTTGGTATCATTTTCCTTTTTAGTTAATTTGGTTTCCTTTTCTATGTTTTTTACTGTTAACAAATTATTAGTATTAATCTCCTTTTATATTTTCCTTTTTAAGCTAATAATTTATATCCAAAATTATTGTACATTTATTTTAGTTTCATTTCCTTTTCTATTTTTCCTACTTTTACTCCTAACAAATTATTAGTATTACTCTCCTTTTATATTTTCATTTTTTACTGCTAATTAACCTTATTATTACTATTATTATTATTATTATTATTATTTCTATTATTATTATTATTATTATTATTATTATTATTATTATTATTATTAACTGAATCCCGTTTTCATTTCTTTTTTTTATCTACTGCTAATATTATTATTATTATTATTATTATTATTATTATTATTATTATTATTATTATTATTATTATTATTATTATTATTATTATTATTATAGTAATTATTATAGTAATAATAATTCGTTATTATAGTATAGTATTTTAAATTAAATTATTTAAATTAAATCACCCTATATATTTAAATAGATTACCATAAAGTTACCATAATAATTACACAAAATAATGAAAGAAAAATTATGAGAA